TTGGTTACGGCCTTTGATCGAAGATTATAATGGTGTTATAACATCCTTTAGGCCTTCCCATACTACGTTTGAGTTTTGACCTGGATCATTATTAAATAATACTATCGGATTTAATCTTTCTTATTACATCAATGGTGCCACCACGTGCAGGGGAACCTTTGTTAATCAAGTGAACTAATTTGTGGTTGTTAACTCGGAGAGCAGCCTACAAGTAACATTCATTTCATAACAACTGTTATCACTTTGTTGTTTAACATACCATTTATATGGTAACTGTGATTTGTTTCGTTTTGCCTTACTCATGGACAGACACTTGGGTTTGTAATGTTAACCCTTTTTGTTATATTATTGGTAAATGTGCGTATTGTTATATCTTGCATAAGCTCTTTCCTGGGATCTACCACAGTGGTACATATCCTTTCTATCCTATAAAATGAGTGATTATGTATTAATATGGAGTATGCGAATATTATTTGGATACCATGTTAAATCGTTTGGGTTAAAACTGTTTGGTTGAATATGTTTTTGTGTCTCATTCCACTGTGTACAACAAACAGAGTGTAATCTACTACTATTATTCGCGTAAATATACAAGTCAGTCTTCAAATGAGATGTGATGTTAGCTCAAACACATCACCATTATTTCACATCATAGATGCGCGACATTAATTGGTGCATGAAAAACCTTAAAAATTGTCAACAGACAGGAAATATCAAGACTACTTAATTTCCATACGTCAACTCATCCTGATAATTTTGAAGAAGACGAACAACAGTGAACATTTCAGCTTATCTAGGCCATCATCGTCCACATGGGACTGATTGGAAATATCTTCTATTGTGGAATGAGGTGTTTATGGGTGGATCGTTGACTGACTTCAGTTAGACAGTGGTAACCCATCTGTAAGCTTAGTAAGAAACTCGTTGGCAGTGTGCACACATCACCATGACAAGAGTAGAAACCATCATCTTCGTGTTGACATGGTGAATGGATCACCTTAGATGCACTGAGTTCCAATCGAACATTCTGTGATCAAATTGAATGAGAGATTCGTTAATTTGTGTACGACATGGTGAGTCATGCAATTTCACGAATATTACTCCACCCCTCTTCTCACATATCTACTCACAATACGCATCCATGCTTCTGTATCGAAAAATGTAAAGGGTAGATTAGTTTGAGAAGTTTCACCAATGTGAATGTGGGAATATGGGAGTGAATAATGTGAATTTTTTCTCGTTGTGGAATTTCATGTTCACATAATTGGCTTATCATTCTGCGTTAAAACTTCGAAACGTTCAGTACGTCCAAGTAAGGTAGTTGTGCTTGGTTCGATTTACATTGGATTGGTATACTTTCCTGAATATCCTACTCTCCAGAAGGATGGACGAGTATCTACAAGGCAATATTTTCTCGAAACACACATACTGGTCAACATCGTTCATTCTCATGGCTTCTCACGTCTTCATTACACAATGAATCGTGTTCAGTGTATCAGACACAAAGCTAGAGTATTATGCTCTGACGATAGTGTAGAATGATGAACACGTAAACTAACGAACGCACCACTGAACAACCGTTATCCAAACTGATTCGTCATCGGTTATTTCTCCGAATCGAGAAATGAGAAAAATGTCGACTCTGTCGGTCAGAAAACACTCTTTCTAAGACCTGATTCTAGGGAGGACATGGTGGGTGACATCTCGACAAGCCGACTTGAAAGATTGATTGAATGGAGGTTTGATGCTGTTAAGTTTCACGTCACTTTGCTGATATAGTCTCCCACTCTCACTTTGTAGATAGTGAATATCGCATCGAAATAGAAGAAGCATCCCTGTTTTTGTATCCAGCTCCGAATAGTCTACCAGGAGGAGTAGTATTGCTACTCCCTTACATAGCTGAAGCTGTCTGCACCGACTTCACAAAACCGAACCTATGCTTCCATAAAACCTGTGTGCAACCTAGCTAGATGTCTTTGCCCACTATATGGTTGGTGCATACCACAGCCACACACTAATCCAATATTGACACAATCATTCCGACATAAAACATTTCTCCTATTGAGCATTATATTATTAAGTTAATTACAGTACACCACTCTTCACACATTTAACATACTTTGGTGAATTTCCAACTTCACAAGTGTTACATTTTGCATGCAATCGAGACACACGAAACCCACTATTGGATTCACGATTGACACATAAACACATTATATCGATCACAGTTATGCAAAAATTATAGAGTCTAAATCTCAGAGCTTGATGATTAACTCATTGAAAGTGTTTTCCCACTCTAATTCCACTTCACTATCACACTTGACAATTTTATGGGACCAATTCCCACAACAATGATGGATCTGGTCGGAAAATGAGAATTCATCTATTAAACAGTACACACATTAGGGATCTAATGAAGATGAATTCGGTTGCACGATAGTCAGTAGCTACGAGAAAAGTAATTCCTCCATGTGATTGACGGAAATATGTGGATCTATTGTCCGTGACACAATGAGGCAGATCAGTAACACTGAAAAATCGACAGTCTAGTCGTTCATGGAGGAGATGGACTACGAACAAGTTGAGTTTTGAAGAAGGATGCAACTTTGCAAAAAAAGAGACTAAGAGGGTATCGGATTACAAGTAATACGAGTATGGCATTCATCAGTCCTCGTTTGGTCATTTGTTCGACCACTTCTATTTCAACATGCGGCCTATTCACAATGATAAAAACATTTGAGTAGCATGAAAATTTGTGATCACCAGTTGACGGTGACCACTTTGTAGGGAATGAAATCACAACGATGAGGCAAGTTTTGTCGACAATCCCTAACCAAATAGTGATCGTTGATGTTCGACACTGTGAAATGTGTGAAATTGAAGTTCAAATGTGTTCTTATTGTGAAATTCATCGTTGGGACTGAACCAGTGGATTGATTGTGCACGCCACATGGGGAGCACGTTCAGTAAGAAAATATCCAGTCATGGAATAGTTCTGTGAGGCCAACAATCTATGTTCGAAATCCACAAATGACAGATATTCAACCATCAATTTCACCTACAGCCTAAATCCCCCACCAAATATATTGAGACGTGTTAATCAACTGGAAGATTTAATTTGGATAGGGTAATAAGAAGACACAGTTTATCAGGATTATGTGATATATTAGCGCAATACATTTCAAACAATCTGATCACACATATACTGTTTCAAAACATCTATACATAAAAATAGGAATGTCAACTAGACAAATGGAGGTTAAGAGGAGCTAAAGAGAGTAAAATAACTATGAAAAAACGATTCGAAACCTCATCACGCTGAACAATATGCTGATGTTACCAGGAAAGGTTTAAGTTGTGAACAAGCTTAATTTGAATACATAAAGGAGTTTGAATTTTCACATGGCTAAGGCTTCAATAAACCCTAGTATACGCACCTTAACGCTTTTGTACAACATCACAAAAGACTTGTTTAGATCAATCTTATCACCTGTTTCAACTACATGTTAGGCAATAAAACATGATGGATGTTTATCATCTACTATTATTGGATCACTTGATTTTACTTGTTTCCGCAAACACTTAGACACATGTTCAGATACCCCAATTTGCAGATCATGATTACTCCTCCCTGTGTATGTGTGGCCATACACATACTCACACACACATTTAAATTGATAAAAACAGTGGGGTATGATGCAATCGATTTCATGTCTCATAGGTTTTGGTGAGACGTGGACCCTGCTTTTCTCCTGATAATGACACCACCTGTGTAGACAAGCTTTTGTGCCAAGGCTGTAGTAGGCCGCACTATACCACCAGCTTCAAATCTATTTATGAATTTTGAAAGACCCTTAACGGCCCCTTATCAAAGTCCGTTTGTATTGCGCTGGGCAGTAACTATAGTGACTATGATATTGGCCTGTCCAAGTTGGCTTTCTTAATATGGATTGTTCGACTGAACTGTCTTCTCTCCTACTTATAAGTATGTCTAAGAGAGGAAGCTGGTCACTCTTCTCCTCTTCTCATAACAGATTGATGCAGTTTTGATAAACGTCAAGTTTATTCAACAAACAGGTCATATCGTCCTTTCACTCACAAATAACTATGACATCATCCACGTATCTCTTATAAAGTGACATGCGTTCGACTAGGTATTCAGCTACATTTACGGTATGTGCCATGAACACATCTGCTGATAAACAATCTAGACAGTTGAGTGAAATGGAATAGATGAAGTGTGGCTAATGGTGGAATTTAGGATTGGCGTGGACTTAATGCAGCTTCAGTTCATCCTGTGCAGATTGCCTCCACCAAATCGATGAGTCCGAACTAGGATGAAACGCGTGTCCTGGATTCCACCACTAGCCATATTCCACCTATCCTATATTAGTTTGTGTCATAATGGCTACATCAAGCCAATCCTCACACGATGTCTTTGTGTCGACCAAGACTGGTCAATTACGAACAAAGTATAGTACAAACTAATTCAAACTGCATTGTTCAGTGAATCGACATGTACATTTTCCTATACATATGAGGTCAAAACAGTGAGGCATGACACCCACAGGTCTACTAACAACACATTGTTCTCAATAAATAAATAAATAATATATTTGTAATATCTCACTTCTTCAGAGAAGAAGTGACTTACACTAAGCCAAGAAACGTCAAAAAATCTAATATTTCTACTCATTGGGATATTACAAATATATTATTTATTTATTTATAACAATCTACCCAAAGCTCAATCTATTCGAAATTATCAAATCAAATCTTAGTTCTTCTCAATAGTTCGAAATATCACAGATACTAACGTCCGTTCATTACACAATACAACGCATACATGGAAAACACTATTTATAATGAATAAGTTTTATTCATCTCGAATTCAAACACGACTATATTACAGTGAGTTGAATTGAGAGGTGTGTAGAAAAATAGGATAGTGGATAGTGCGATACAAGCAAGTTAGAATCATCCACAATTCGACTGGTGCCTCAGTAAGTGCTTACATAATGGTTGGGTTTGTAAGTATCAGGTTTGTAAGTATCAGGTTTGTAAGTATCAGGTTTGTAAGTTTCTGGTTTGTAAGTATCAGGTTTGTAAGTATCAGGTTTGTAAGTTTCTGGTTTGTAAGTATCAGGTTTGTAAGTTTCTGGTTTGTAGGTATTGGGTTTGTAAGTAATGGGTTTGTAAGCATTGGGTTTGCCACCTTTGCCACCTTTGCCACCTTTACCACCACCCTTACCCTTGCCATGGCCATGACCCTTTCCATGGCCGTTACCACCGTAGCCTTGATCACCACCATAAGGAGCAGGGAAGGCTTCATCAAAGCCATTTCCACAATCTCCACCATTGCAGCCACCACCATAGCCACCACCACCACCGTAACCACCACAATCTCCACCATTGCAGCCACCACCATAGACACCACCACCACCGTAACCACCACAATCTCCACCATTGCAACCACCACCACCGTAACCACCACAATCTCCACCATTGCAACCACCACCACCGTATACGCCACAATCGTCACCATTGCAACCACCACCATAGCCGCCGCCACCACCACAGTCATTACCAGAACAGCCTCCACCATACCCGCCGCCGCCGCCGCCATAACCGCCACCACAATCACCATTGTAGCAGTCACCACCGTAATCATTCGAACTGCCATGTTGTGTGTGGTGGGCTGTGGCGTAACCAATGGCTACCAAGAAGACGAGTGTGAGTGATGATTTCATTTTTCCAACTGTTGGTGTTGTTGTACTAGGCGTGATGATATGTAAACTAGTGTGATTTGTCGTTTATATATATTGTTTTTGATTATGGATTGGAAGAGTTGTGCCTCTCTAAGTGCATCATTATTCAATATATATTACGCTTGTGCACTCTACTGTTGAACTGTCTTTTGTGTAATCGTTAATGATAGTTGAGCGTGATAGTTAAAAATATCGATGAGACTGTTAGTTCACAAATTACTCACTATTTTAATTCCACCGTTCGAATTCGTTAGCATGTGATTCATCGAAACCGCTGATTGAGTCGTTATTGAATGAGACCAAACTCTTTCTGACGACACTGAAAAGTGATGTTTTTCTGGACACACAAATTTTAAATGAACAGCTTATAAATTTTTATTTAAACTTAACTTGTTGACCTCATGGACGATGTTGTTACGACATTAAATAGGGGATTTCGGGAGTCAACAGACCATTCTTCATATTGTCATATTTCACACATGACAATATCAATTAAGACAGTAGCCCAGATACTAGTAATAAAAATACTTCGTTTGTTCAGGCTAATTTCTCTCAAGTAAGTGTCGTATGTCAGTAATTTAGGGACAACAGAGTGCAATCATTATTGGATGACAATAAGACAATCCAGTTTCTCTTTCAGATTGTAACTCATAATTTGTATTTGGTTAACATAGTTTATCCAACACCCTGACAAAAGGTCACGTTCATGATGTAAGGTGTTCTAAGTGGCGTGTTAGCCAGTAGTCGTAATGTTGGAATTCGACGCTATGAACACGATGTTTAATATATCCTCACTGTTGAGACAAGTAGAGTTTATTTCGATAGTGTGAGTGGCACCCAACTACTTTCAACGTTCATCTTACTGGAATCCGCAAAAGTGAAGTGAACACTTTTAACCAACTCCATTTTCTCTCACTCATTATTTGTTTTGACATGAATGAGATGACGTTGTTCAGTGGTGGTGGATTGCCGTGTTTCAGTGTTATGCAGAACTGTCTCAATTCTCATAATTGATTCATTGTGTTAGTAGCTCAAACCTGAATAGATACACACTCACGTATTGTTGACTGCGAATTGTGGAAGTGTTTGCAGATCAAGTTGGGATTGTCTGTAATGGCCTATGAACGGAAGAATCTCATACGACAAATCGAAAATCAAATGCCCAACTGTGCTTCCAATTCTATTCGTGTGTGAGATAAGCTGTTTTGGCAAGTTGATTTACAGTCAGATATTTTGAGGTCTACTGCATCAACTCATCAAAGCTTTCGAATAAACCTCACAACACTCTGAGTAAGCAATCTACTAAGTTCATCGGTGACAAGTACGTTTATTCCATACACTGATTGGTATTCATGATAACAGTGCTTTTGTTGAATTCACATATACAGAGTTTCGGAGTGGATGTGGTGAATACACTTACAGATTGATAGAATGTGTTCTCGGATAATGACGTTCTTGATTGTTATAACCCTTATTTCATTTACTGAAATAATTATGAAACAATCAGTGGACGTAATAGAATCTAATATTGAATGAATTAGGTTATAACATGTAGGAATGGTTGTAAACTGGTGTTTGCTCATTTAATGACTAGTTTGCATTATACCATTCATTTAGTTTATTGCATACAGTGATTGGTATTCATGATAACAGTGTTTTTGTTGACCTAGACCACTGAATATTCAGAATTCCAAATTTCAGTCTCTGAGTACTCATTAAATTAAAATGAAATTATCAGTGTTTTAACTGAGCGAAAGTAACTGATAGCGTATAACTCAGCTGTAGTAATTTAGGTAATTTGTAGAAAGAAAAGAAATGCAGGTGTATGAATCTCAGCATTAGAAGTTCAAATGTTATTGAGTTATCCATCACTGATGCACATTTAATTCACCATATACAGGTAATCTATCCAAATCGATAGTTGGTAATCTAATACATTACTTAGTTGGTGTTTTCGAGCGTAATTTGAATATGGTTTCGCTTGTAAATGCAACGTGAGATTTTATGAAGTAATTGTAAAACTTTATAAAAAAAATCCTCTTCGTATTTCCCACGTATCTGTATACGCTATTCGATAGTAGACAAATAGAATACAATAGTATACACATTTTAGCTAATTTGACGACTATTGTTCATGATGAAACTTCAGTCTTTCTTCTTGTATCTACACAATTTCAACTCACTTATCATTAATTTAAATTTTATATTGAATATTAACTTCACTAACGTGTATTTGAAGAGCTTTTCTTAATGCAGCTAGCATATGATTCTAAGACAAATGTTTCCTTTTAATTGGGACTCGTCAGTTGTATTCACTTGAATTGATGTTTAAAAATTGAGTGTTGATCAGCGTACCCTGAGCAGATTGCCTCGATATTATCATTTATTTACAAGTTTTGATGAAAGTTGGATAGTGACTGGTAGTGGAATTAATTCTTGGAGTTTCATGTTAAACATTTGTAGTCCATAACATTCATAACAGGAATGCACAAATCTTTACAAGGATATTAACCACTGACAGTTGATTGAATATGATGTTTATGGTACGATATTCTATATTTCATAATACATTTCTTCCGGTATACATTTTCCATAAGACTCTTTTTGATGATTGTCAATTTACTCATTATTTATTATGAATACGAAGTCCCTAATATTTATAATGATTAACTACACCCTACTTTACAAAACTAGTTTTCAATATGTGGTGTTGTATCAATCTTAATTACATTTAATATCACATCATGTATACTCTTCCTTTGATTATTAATTACCAGTTTCGATTTGATTGTGAGGTAATGAAAATGAGTGTGATTAGTCACTGAGTGTAAACAAACAGTCACTCAGCTTACTGACAATTAAGTATGTAATTTCTTTTCCTATTATTGATTTTTACTCTGGAATCATTGAAAGCGGCTGCTTAAAATTGTGTGGAATAAAGTGATGTCTAACATTGCTCTAGTTCACTATCTTTGTCATAAATTAAGTATCTGATATAAAGTGACCAGGTTTTTTTTTATATAGTGGATCGTTTGGGTATCCAATCTAGCGGTATCATAAACTTAGTTACCCAGACCAGTCTTATTACCGTATTGGTGTAGAATACCGCAAAAAGAATGAGATTTGGTACGTATAGTTCCCTGTATCATTTTCATTTATCTATTACATCACATTTCAACACACTCAGATGAAATTCACTAACTAAATAGTGTCGAATATTTATCTATTATAGTATTACTCTCTTGTAATTTTATATTATTTGTAATTGATGAGAAGCCTGTAAAGTAGAATGATGAATTCATTTTACTCTAAACAATTTATTGCTATTGTTTTGGTACAATAGATTACATAACAATTGTGTACTTGATTAATTGATCAATTGATTAGATTATCAATATTTGTCTCTTTTCCTCTAGTTATTTATAGCATTAATGAATGAAATACTACTATTGATTTTTGTGTTAATCCAATAAACATAAGTAAAGGCTTAAGTCAATATTAGTAGAAATTTCACTGGTTGAAATCATGAGTCAATTGAAGCTAAACCACCATGGAAAACCTGGAAGAACTGGACGGCCGTTTCATCCTAGTATGGGACTCCTCAGCAGTGCGCAGACACTGATCACTGCTTCTCACTAGAACTCCAGGAGTGTCTCTTGAAGTCAGTGCTGAGGAGTCTCATTCTAGGATGAAACGGCCGTTCAGTGCTTCCAGGTTTTCCATGGGGGTCTGGCTTCAATTAACTCATGATTTCAACTAGTGAAATTTCTAAAACCTCCACAAAACCCCTTCTGAATATTTGTAGAGAGACTGATTTCAGTTGAGGTACAATTGAAGGCAAGATAGAACATGTTTTGTTTTAGATTGACTTTTTTTCAGCTATGCGACTCTAAAAGGGGTCGAACTTAGGATTTTCAGGTCATAAGAGGAACTTTTAACCAGTCGGACTACCAATGATACAGAGATATATTCAATGGTACGATTTAGATTTCAACCAATCTGTGAAATAATATGATGATCATTCAACGTCGTTGGTGACATGTTCGAACTTAGTTTCCGAAAAACTCAACCTGTTATATAGCTGACTGATATAAAAATGAATTGCATTGGTAGAAATTTCAATGAATGGAAAAAATTTGATATTTTATATGGTAAGATGACTTTGATAAAACAATGAGAAGACGTTTCCCACCACTTTCACGGATCTCAAATCAAACAAAGGAGTATTTTAACTTCTAAACATTTCGCCGCGTTAAAAAACTTCAAAAGTAGGTCAGATATTGTGATCCTCAGAACTGACAAAGGTTCAGGAGTGGTCGTTATCAATAAATGTGAATATAAAGAAAAAGTGTTATCTATACTGGGTGACCAGAGTAAATTCTTGCCGGACGTCTCATCTAATATTAATGTTAGAATATTGGAATCCAGAGTGGAGTCCAATCTATTAAAGCTTCTTAAAATAAACGTCATAAACACTGAGGAGTTTAATCTACTAAAACCTTCAGGTTCAGTTCTCCCGAATTTATATGGATTACCTAAAATTCATAAACCTAATATTGCATTACGACCAATTTTCTCTATGCGCGCTTCACCCACACATGAGCTAGCTAAATGGTTAGTAAAATTGTTAAACCCGATTCGTACTAAACTACGTAAGTTTTCTTTAAAAGATACATTTAAACTAATTGATCATCTTGGGGACATCAATATTAAAGATAAGTCTTTGTATTCTTTTGATGTAAACTCTCTCTTCACGAATGTACCGTTAACAAAGACGGTAGATTTCCTTTGTGACTATATTTCTAAAAAATTTTCCTTTTTCCTATTCCGTTACCATTGTTGAAAGAATTACTTTTATTATGTACTGCTAATGTTCAATTCACGTTTGATGGTGAATATTTTCGGCAATTTGATGGTGTAGCTATGGGTAGCCCTTTGGGGCCTCTCTTAGCTGATATATTTATGTCATATGTAGAAAATAG